AGCCCGAATTGAAATCAGATGCACCTAGTATTACAACAAATATACAACCGAATAAGGATAAGAAACCACGAAAGAAATCACGAAAGAAACTACGAAACAAACCACAAAAAACGGAATCTTACGTAAAGCGCACACATGCTCGTATTGCATGCCATCCGTGTCGCAAAGCACGTATAAGGTGTAGGAAAAAAAAAGAGGGATCTAGTTCTTGCAATAGGTGTATTGAAGAGAATAAGTCATGTATTTTTGATGAAAAACCGGGAAAAAGAGGCCGCAAACTTTGTGGCAAAAATAGGCCTAAGGTAAAAAATCTATTTTTTTCAATATTCTTTCTTTGTTCAAATAATTATTTATTTTTCTTAATAAATAGGAAGACAAAACAGAAAACCGTGATATCAATTCTGCTGATAATACTGTCGAGGTTATTAAACAATGTCGCCGTGGAAACAATAAAGTAGTGGCTGATAATCTTAATTTAGAAGGTACTTTTAGTATTTTGAGTCCAAAAACACAAGGTAATAGCAATGATGAAAATAAAAATAAAAATAAAAATAGTAGCAAATATTATAATGGTAACATATACGTACATATTTCCGTAAATTCAGTTAATGTTGTTGACACTTGTTTCAAGCATAATATGAAAGAAGAATCAACTAAACTACAAATTAATGATCCATCAAATTCGGATCTTTACAACATCTGTGGTAATCAAACTGATATTAGTGAAAATTCGGTCAAATCTTCTACAAGCATACTGGAAACTAAAAATGTAGATGAAAATGAAAGAACTTGTGTAGCAACCGCTTGTTCTCGTTGTAAGAGAGGTCATATAAAATGCGACAACCAAAAGCCTTCATGCCATAACTGTGAAGAAAATGGTTACGATTGTTTTCGTATTCCGCCGAAAGTTTCGTGTGGCCGTCCCCAAGATACGCTTAATGGACAGGGGAAATCCCTCAAAAAAAATACAAACAATGGAGCTAAGAAAACTAGAAAACCTAGAAAAAAACCATTGATAAAATCCAATGATGTCAAAAAAGAATTACTCAATCATGAAAGTGTTGGTATTGACGGAAATAATAATAATGATCCATCAACTTTGGGTTTTTATAATGGATTGACACCCTCCTCATCTTTTCAAAG